TCGATGTTTGGCCTTAGTTTCTGACTGGTTGTCGATATTCGGCCTTAGTTTCTGACTGGTTGTCGATGTTCGGCCTTAGTTTCTGACTGGTTGTCGCTTAGTTTCTGACTGGTTGTCGATGTTCGGCCTTAGTTTCTGACTGGTTGTCGATGTTCGGTTTTAGTTTCTGACTGGTTGTCGATGTTCGGCTTTAGTTTCTGACTGGTTGTCGATGTTCGGCTTTAGTTTCTGACTGGTTGTTGATGTTCGGCCTTAGTTTCTGCAGTTGTCGATGTTCGGCTTTAGTTTCTGACTGGTTGTCGATGTTCGGCTTTAGTTTCTGACTGGTTGTTGATGTTCGGCCTTAGTTTCTGCAGTTGTCGATGTTCGGCTTTAGTTTCTGACTGGTTGTTGATGTTCGGCCTTAGTTTCTGCAGTTGTCGATGTTCGGCTTTAGTTTCTGACTGGTTGTCGATGTTCGGCTTTAGTTTCTGACTGGTTGTCGATGTTCGGCCTTAGTTTCTGCAGTTGTCGATGTTCGGCTTTAGTTTCTGACTGGTTGTCGATGTTCGGCCTTAGTTTCTGACTGGTTGTCGATGTTCGGCCCTAGTTTCTGCAGTTGTCGATGTTCGGCTTTAGTTTCTGACTGGTTGTCGATGTTCGGCCTTAGTTTCTGACTGGTTGTCGATGTTCGGCCTTAGTTTCTGACTGGTTGTCGATGTTCGGCCTTAGTTTCTGACTGGTTGTCGATGTTCGGCTTTAGTTTCTGACTGGTTGTCGATGTTCGGCCTTAGTTTCTGATTGGTTGTCGAGTCTTTTGTCAGTCAAAGAATGTTTTTGTTGATGGCAGATATTTGATAGTTTTTTGTTCTGAACTTTTTTGTAAGACTCTCGATCGTCCTCGGCGATCGGACAGTTTGACACATTGTTTAGATGCATGTACCCGTCTAGTGTTGCAGACCGCATACTGACCTATTGATGTCTTTCTTTCTTTCTCTCTTTCTTTCTTTGTGTGTGTATGTGTGTGTATTTGTTTTTTGGTTCATGTTTGTCTCATAAACGTATACTCCACTTCTCCTTTTACATTTATTCATATCGAAAAGAATAAACGAGAATTGGTCAAAGAAAAGCAATCACAAACATGTAGAAAATAATTTTGATTTCAAAATCATTTAACCAATTTCTCCTTCACTTCGTCTTTGAACTGATTATTGAACAGGAAATAAGAAAAGTCCACGTTTCATGTTGTGCATATAACTGTAATATAAATGAGTCAGTCTTTTTTCATGAAACACCATTTTTTATATAATTAATATGCCTCTGATTCAAACTTCTGACCTTATCATGTAAAGTAAACAAAACAAATCTTTGTATATTATTCTCTCTTCAAATTTTGAATTTCTAATATTTGACAAGTTAATTCATATAAGAAAGCATTTAATTTTGAAATGAAAATGTTTTTTGTCAAATTTTGTTTTTATTCCAGTGTCGTAAATTTAAAAACTTCGAGTTTGCATTGATCTATTGGCCTTATCGAGATCAACGTTTGACAGTACCTGAAATTTAAATTCCTACGCTCAATGAACTAATGTTTTATCTAAAATCTTGAGTAGCGATCAAATGTGTTTTACGAAGTATTTGTTGAATTAAATGGGGGAAAAATGTCAATTCGAACAATGATATATTTAATCTTTATACAAACTTTTACATGGAATTGACGCGTAATGTGTTAACTGTAATGCAGGTGATATATATAAATATTAATAAACATCATGTTGCTAAATAGTGACACGAAGAGTGTGCGTAAAGAAGGGGGATCATTTTATTTCGCCATAAGGTATATAAAAAAAGTACAAGAGAACTTTACACAAATGTCATATGTAGAACCTCTTATGGGTATATTAGTAATTACAAAATATAAACAAAAAATCACTCATAAAACAACTGAAATATGTTGTTTTCCTCTATGTATTTATTGTTATGGTGTCAGGTGAAGGTAAAACCATATTGAGTCCTTTTAAATATTAAAATTTAAAACAATAATATATTGTGCTAATAAGCTGTTTGACATAAAATAAAATTATGCTGAGGGTTTTTTTTCTTCTTGCATTTAAGTCATGTATAATGCACGAAACAGTAAGCATTTATCGAAATAGTAATTTTTGGCGTAATCACAACGCTTTGTTCGAGTACTAGAATTTTTTGTGAAACCACAACGATTTGCGTGAGCTAAACATTGCTATATTGTTGTTCCATTTTGCCACACGCTGTATGTCCGAATAAATAAATGTATAACAGTTGGGGGTCAGTTCTAAATTCTCTTCAGAATTGTTATCATTTGATTTAAAATGTTTTATGGTAAAATAGCTTCTATTATTTAACTATTCTTAAGGTGTCAATATATCTTTTCTAGTGCTTGTTCTGTAGCAGCTCGCCTTGACAGCTCCTGAAAGATTTTAAGTGAGGTTAGAACTAACCTCAGCTGTTCTTGTCTTATATTTTGACATATGAACTTTGAATATAATCTTAAGATATCGACTTGTGTGCGGGAATAAAGAACAAATACCATGCATGCCACAATTGTAATGCATTTGACGACGAAACACACGTTTTGGTTGATTGTAAAAATAATGAAAAACTTCAAGGCAATTTATTTTAATCAACTACATTTACTATATAACCAGAATTACATTGATCAATCAGACAATGCATAAAAACAATCTTTACATTTTAAATCATCAGTTCCATTTCAAGTAAATACACTAGGTTCTATATAGAAACCCTTAGAACAGAGGACAGTGGAGGAGGCTCGTTAAGACTTAGCGTATTTATTGATTTTTTTTATTTTAATCATTTTCCCAGAGACATATATATCTCTTATTACTGTACGCCTTAAAATGTATTTCATATTTTTTATTGACACAAACATTATATACTTATAAAGCTTAGATGACAATAAATATATAGATATGAAAAAACTAATTAAAACTTCATCATTTATATTGAAAATGTATGTCCCACTGATGTGCAACCTGTTGTATGTTCACGTCAAACGGAGTAATCGTTGTTTAACATGTCAACTGAATTTCAACTGTTTGTTAAGGCCTATTATCTTTGTGTATTCAGGGTCTAGTGCATATGTCAATCGCCTCTTAAAAACATATTCAATTTGTGTTTGAAGGCCAGTAAATATATTTATTGGTTTTAAAAATACTTAACAACTGTATGTAGTGTATGATTTTCCTAAGCGCATACTAGTAGTTATTACGCTTGTTTTCTTTTCTTTGTCATTACCAGTTGTACTTTTTATGATAGCCAATGCGCGAATTAACCGTTATAGATTTCAACTCAAACTGGTGCGGGTGCCGTCTTAAACTGTGATGAGGTGTGATATCGTGTTCCTTGCCGAAGAAGATTTATTTAATTTTATATTTTTAACTACATTTTTGTACTCTTGGCTTCTCATTTATTTGGTAAGATTGAGTGAACGTTTTGTGTACGTTCATATTGAAGGGCAGATGATAATACGAGTTACGTGAACTCGAGCTCTGGCTATAGATGGTATTTTGAATCACGTGAATTAAGACTCGTGGCAACAGTATATTAGGAATCACGTGAAAACAATCTTTGGACATATGGTCTTGTGTCCCGTAAAAAAAGGCTCTGGGCAGATGGTCTTTTGAATAACCATAAGGTAAAGCTCATGGGTGATGGTCTTTTGTGTCAAAGGAAATCATGCTCTGGATATATGGCCTTTTGAGTCGGGGCCCACGCTAAAGCAAGCTATGGGCAGATTGTATTTTGAGTATAGTGAACCAGGCTCTGAACAGATAGTCTTTTGTGTCCGTACAAATCATGTTCTGGGTAAATGGTCTTTTGAGTCACGTAAAATCAGGCTTTGTGCAGATAGTATAAGGAGTCACGTGATATCGAGCTCTGAGCAGATGGTCTTTTGAGTCACGTGGAATCAGACTCTGGGAAGATGGTCTGTTGAGTCCGTGAAATCAAGATCTTGCCAGGTGGTATTTCTAGTCACGTGAAATCAGGCTCTTTGAAGATGGTGTTTTAAGTTACGTGGAATCAAGAACTGGGAAGATGGTCTTTTGAGTCCGTGCAATAAAGCTCTAGGTATATGGTCTTTTTAATCAAGCGAAATCAAACTGGGAAGATGGTCTTTTGAGCCAAAATCAATCTGTGGGTATTTGGTGTTAAAAGTCATGTGAAATATATAGCTCTGGGCAGATGGTATTTTGAGTCACATGAAATCAAGCTCTGGATAAACAATTTTTTTATTGACATGAATTCAAGCTCTGTGCAGCTGGGCTTTTGAGTCAAGTGAAATCGAGCTGGCAATAACAGCTTTAAACTCTTTCAGTTTGGACGAATAAAAAAAAGAATTGTAATCATACGATCTAAATAAATTCCCATTATAGCTATTTTCAGCGCAGGTTGAAAACATTCAATTGTGCAATTTTTCATCGTGAAAAAAAACCAAATTCTTAATTTAAACTTGGTAAGGCCTAACATAAGGTATTTCGTATGATTTACGATTTGCAAATTATTTAATCTATGAACCTACAAAGCATGGTAAATAAATATAATATAGTGCATGTTATTTTGTTAAAAACAGTGATTTTTTTCAACGTCGTATTTTTCTTTACGCCCTAAGTTCAGACAAGGTCACCAATTATTTAAAATCCTTTTGTTAAATTGTTAAAATGTGACACTTTAAGTTGACATCTTGGCAAAGTTTTATCTTTTCAAAGTGCAAAACAAACCAAGTTGAATATAATAAACCTAGTTGTTATTAAATAAACTGAACTCTCTGCATGCCATTGAAATTTAAAATGAATGTTGTATAATTTGTGACATTTTTTTTAAATGTTTCATGTAAACTATATTTTAGTGTAGATTATTTGATTAATGTCATTGCACGAGAATCGTAATAATATGTATTGGCGTTTTGATCAAACCGTTTTTTGAGGATATTTATTAATATCGTGCATGTTTACTTTTAACAGGATGTAACTTTATATCAAAAGGTCAGGGGACAGAGTAAAGTTCAACAGCTGTAAGTATACTTTACAATTTTTTTCTTATTCACAAAATAAAGTGTGACACCTTTAAGTAAACCTTTTGACAAATTGTTACCTTTCAAAGTGTAAATCAAACCATTGATTTGAACTTTTTAGAGTGGCGATGTGTGACTTTATAAACCAAAAACTTAATTATTTCAAATACATATTTATACCCTGTATGCATACTCTTATTAACAAACAAGATTATAATACTTATAAACAGATACAATGAAATACATAAACTTCAGCGTACCTATGTTTATCACATACAAATTTGTTGTGAACTATAAACAGTAAACAAGTCTACTTCGGCAGTACTTTGGACTATCCCACTTCAGAGCTAAACCAGTATTTTTGTCCAGTATGGAATTTGGGGCTGATGACAAGTCTTTTACCTATACATTCATGTCTAGAATGAAGATGTATGGTTTGATTATTGATTGATTGTTGCTTACATAACGTCTTATGGACAATTCCGCATGCAAATTCAAGCCGAATTTAGAGCTTTAAACAATTATGGAGTAGACGTCTGTCTATTAAATACCGAAGGTCTTTAGATGTCCTTTCAGCATTATTGTGTTCTCAGTTTGCTGTTTTGTTGCCGGCATTTACCACACATATGTTTATTTATTTATTTATTAGTCACCTACCGACGAAGTCGATGGTGACTTTTGGTTTGCACTCCGTCCGTCTGTCTGTCTGTTCATCCGTCAGTCCGGGCAAAGCAGTTTTCCACACTTTTTTCTTCGTGCATAAAGATATTGATTTGATATTTGGTATATAGTCTTATCATGACCAGTTACAGATCAAGTTTGAATTTTGTTCCGGTCTGATGATTTTGTGCAGAGTTATGGTCCTTAGACTTCGAAAATTCATACAAGTAATCAGTTTTCCGCACTTTTTTTCGTCATTCTTGAAGATATTGATTTAATATTTGGTATATAGATTAACCATGACAAGGTACAGTTCAAGTTCGAATTTTGTTCCGGTCTAATGATTTTGTGCAGAGTTATAGTCTTTGGACTTGGAGAAAATTCAGGTAAGTAATTCAGTTTTCTGCATTTGTTTTCATAATGCTTGAAGATATTTATTTGATATTTAGCATATAGTTGTACCATGACCAGTTACAGGTCAAGTATGAATTTTGTTCCGGTCTAAGGATTTTGTGCAGAGCTATGGTCCAATAGACTTCGAAAATTCATGCAAATAATCAGTTTTCCGTACTTTTTTATACGACCGCAAAAAAATTTTTGTGGTCGTATATTGGTATGACGTTGGCGTCGTCGTCGTCGTCGTCGTCGTCGTCGTCGTCGTCGTCGTCTGGCGTCGTCCGGCGTCGTCGTCTGGCGTCGTCCGGCGTCGTCCGAAGACACATTGGTTTTCGCACTCTAACTTTAGTTTAAGTGAATGGATCTCTATGAAATTTTACCACAAGGTTCAATACCACAAAAGGAAGGTTGGGATTGATTTTGGGGGTTATGTAACCAACAGTAAAGGAATTAGGGGCCAAAAAGGGGCCAAAAATAAGCATTTTTGTAACTTCCAGACATAACTTGTGTGTTAGTGTATGGATCTCTCTGACATTGTACCACAAGGTTCCATACCACAAAAAGAATGTTGGGATTGATTTTGGGGGTAATTGCCTCAAAATATTAGGAATAAGGGGCCAAAAAAGGGGCAAAAAAAACAAGCATTTTTCTAGTTTCATGACAATAACTTGTGTGTAAGTGCATGGATCTTTCTGAAATTGTACTACAAGGTTCCATATCACAAAGGAAAAGCTGGAATTGAGTTTGGGGGTAATTGCTGAAACGTTTAGGAATTGGGGACCAAAAAGGGGCAAAAAACAAGCATTTTTCTAGTTTCAGGACAATAACTTGTGTTCAAGTGTATGGATCTCTCTGAAATTGTACTACAAGGTTCCATATCACAAAGGGAAAGCTGGGTTTGAGTTTGGGGGTAATTGCCCTAATTGTTTAGGAATTTGGGGCCAAAAAGGGGCCAAAAAACACATTTTCTAGTTTCCAGACAATAACTTGTGTTCAAGTGTATGGATCTCTCTGAAATTGTACTGCAAGGTACCATACCACAAAGGGAAGGCTGGGATTGAGTTTGGGGGTGATGAATCATAAGGGGGTTCAAAAAATTGGGGGGGGGGGGTTTCCTTTTTTTTCTTTTTTTCCTTTTTTTTTCTTTTAAAATTTTCCATTTTAAGTTGGTTATTTCTGATTTATATTTAAAAGCAAATAATAATGATATGGTAGGAGATACACACCAAACAGGATGTGTAAATTATTATATAATAAGTATTGTGCAATAGCAAGAAATTTTCAATTGCACAGTATTGCACAATAGCAAGAAATCTTCAATTGCACAGTATTGCGCAATAGCAAGAAATCTTCAATTGCACAGTATTGCGCAATAGCAAGAAATATCCAATAGCACAATATTGCGCAATAGCAAGAAATTGTCAATTGTACAGTATTGCGCAATAGCAAGAAATATTTAATTGCACAGTATTGTGCAAAAGAAGATACTTCGTATAAATTGCTTATTTCTTGACCAATTTCAATGGGGTTTTATTATTGAATACTTGGGGTTCTTTAATATGCTGATTCTAACCGTGTATTTAGTTTTTGGATTTTGGGCCCCGTTTTTAAATTGGTCCACATTGAGGTCCAAAGGGTCCAAAATTAAACTTTGTTTGATTTCATCAAAAATTGAATTATTGGGGTTCTTTGATATGCCGAATCTAACCGTGTATTTAGATTCTTAATTTTTGGTTCCGTTTTCAAATTGGTCTACATTAAGGTCCAAAGGGTCCAAAATTAAACTTAGTTTGATTTTAACAGAAATTGAATTCTTAGGGTTCTTTGATATGCTGAATCTAAACATGTATTTAGATTTTTGATTATGGGCCCAGTTTTCAAGTTGGTCCAAATCGGGGTCCAAAATTAAACTTTGTTTGTTCCTTGGTTAACACTTACTAGTATACATTACTATACCATTTCACTAGTGAGGGGTGCCCTGGGATTTTTTCAAAAACAAAATTTCTTATCTGTATCCGCTTTTGCAGTTCTTGCATTTGTGTGTGAATTATTGTCACGTTTTTTCCATATTTTTGTTCACTTGTTTTCATATTAAAAATCAAAAAGCAGTTATATATATTACAGTTGATCAAAATAAATAATTTTTGGATTTACATCAAAAAACATCTCACTAAACATAATACTCTAGATCCCTTTCTCTCATCATAAAACGCTTGCTGTCTTGAAAGAACATTAAAATAACTGTATTATAAGTATATTATAAAAATGTCATAACTTTCAAGATCTTAACAGGTTGTTATCATTGTACGAAATTCTACTTGAAATAACACTCCAAGTCGAGTGGACCCTTGTGAAAAACAAAACTTCCATCATTTTGCTGCCAAATACACATAATTTATATCTTTTATGGGAAGTACAGGTGGGTCTGAAAGTCATTGAAAACGACACAATGTTACAGTTATATTGAATTAATGTATAATTTCAAGAATCATTTTTTTAAGCGATGTTGTAAATATTTTGAAAGAAGAAGTTTTACCGACTTCCGATTAGTCAGAATATATTTGGACCTCCAGGACAGTGTAGTTTTGAAGAGGGAAAGATATTTATTTTTGCTTCAATATTGTTTATAAATTTGTCATTTTCTCGTTTACATAACAACGTACTGTGTGCCAATTGTTTTGATCGATATTTTCAAATTAATTCAGTCTTAAGACGAAAGAACAGGCAGAATGGTATGCCCTCAGTTGCAACATTCAGCTCGCATGACTGAGGGAAAATAATGGAAATGTTTTTTTGCCATTTTGTGTCAGCCTTTATTTCCAAGCGAATTTGCCGAAACATAATTATGAAAATTACAAATCAAGTGTACCCTGATGAAACGCCTTTCATCTTCTGAATGTGTGTGTGTGAGTATGTGTGTTTATTTTCTTTTCCTGTAAAATTAGGCAAGAGAAAAGTAAACACCCTTTTAAGGATAAAAGAATGCGCTTCTCGCCATTTACGTTCTGTCTTGTATGCCATAACTAATAATGTCGTATGAGAGGTAGGCTGTACACATTTTCCCTTCCGTACAACTATATATCATCCACGTCCGGTTTGATGGTTCGTACTGCTAATTTCTTTATATGTCAGGTGTACTAGATTCTCACACGTGCCCCAAATCTTTTTATTCGTCTCTATGGTCCGCATGGGGTTAACCGAATAGAGATAAATGAGAAAAACAAATGTAGAATGCAAAAAATGGGGGAAAATATAAAGAAAATAATGAGGTGCTTAAATATAAGGAATATAGAATAAAGGTAGGAAAACGAATAGAGAAAATTGGGCTAGAATATAAAAGATCACAGAAATAAAGACCCCCTCGTAGACCCATGTGTATACTTCTATGATTGAATCTTCTATGCCTACGATTTACGAAAGCGAGATAACAAAATATTAAAGTCGATGAAAGTCAGCCGAAAATCATACAGAAAAAAAAATTACGAACAGACAATCAACAGTTCACAAACATTACTACCAAAACTGTTTACAAATTAGTTAATGAGGCTAACCACGTGTTGTTTGTTATTGTTCGTCTTTGTTTGTATGTTTATTTTTAGGATGAGACGGGTGTCTGTTGTACAGTCCTCCTGCTATCTTTTTTATGCCCCGCCACAGAGGAGGGGGCATTAAGTGTTACCCTTGTCTGGCTGTACGTCCGTACGTCCCAAAATTGGTTTCCGTTCTCTAACTTTAGTTTGCCTCAACCAAATGTTATGAAACTTATACACAATGATTATTACCACAAAACACAGCGGGGGCATCATCTGTGTCCCATGGACACATTCTCCATTTATTTAATATATTATAGATGTAGGGAAAACATTTCAAACAAAGTAAAACAACTGACAAACTGTTAAAACTGTATTTTTATTGATCATATCTTAAATTTAGCATTTTGCCAA